TGAAATCAAAGAGGAAAAATTTGGGGGAAACCGTCCGCTGCAATACTGGTAATAAACACTTCCAAGGGATAGAAAAGATCGATTAAGCGTAGATCTGTTGCTGCCTTGTTGGTGTTGAAGAAGAATTTGAGATGAAATTTGGTTGCATTGAAGAGTCGGAGAGGAATTAGGAGCGAGAGGCCACTGGAGGGATAGAGACTGGCGATTTAGGTTTTGTTTTTCAATTTAACGTTGTTTCCCTCCCTTTTTTTTTTTTTTACTGTGGTCGGGTCGGGTCGGTTTAGATCGGGTTTAGGTGCTAACCCACAACCCGACCCGCCATCGAACTCGAAACCCGAAACCCACCCAAAAAGAGCAAAAAACCGACCCAAACCGGTAGAGTTGGGTTGGGTCGGGCAGTTTGCTCGGGTTGGTTTGAGTTTTGCCCACTCCTAGGTAATAATGTGAAATATAATGGTAAATAACATTTTTGTCCATTTCACACTTGCAGTTTTTGAAATTGGATTTTTTGATGAATCGATTCACTAATCTGTAAAATGGTTTTGGTTTTGAAAGTAGATTCGAACTAGAATTGAAACCAAATGATTCTCAAATTTAACAACATTTTGTTTGATTATGGTTTGATCCGATTTTGTCCACCCCTAGTACATACCATGTAGATCCATACCTATACTCCCCCAAAAGAAAAGATTTAATTAAATACATTATCTTATTATTATCCATTATTACATGAATTTAGCCTAAATCATGAGTCTTTTCATTTCAGTCTTCCCTTTTTAGTAACATAACACTATCTTTAAATCATTAAGCGATCTTCCCAAAAGCATAACCCATTCCAAATAATTAGAATAAATTGAAAAGCAAAAAAAAAAAAAAAAAAAAAATTTCATGAAATTGAACATGCAAGCAACACATTACACTTGAATAGAAATTAACTGTATAACTATAATTAAATGTTAAGAATTGACTGCTGTAATTATCCTCTTGAATTCATAAACCATTTTTGGCACTTCCTAAATCTTGCTTTTATGTTAATTACTTGAATAGCTAATTAATATCGAAAAGACGTTTCTTGAAATGAATCTGAATCTAAAAACTCTTCATATATCAATCTGTATCAATAACAAGGAACCCAATCCCAATTAGTAATAAGGATTATAGCATTAAATCTTACTTTAATTGTATGCCTTTAAACGCGGATTTACCATAATCTGGTCAAAGTGGTGGTGGGGAAGAGTGTGGGTGTAAATGTACGCAGATAAAAGATTATTCTATGGAATTATTTATATATCGTGTGTCTATGTCATGTGCAAGAGGGATTGGCTTTAAGCCTATTAACTTTAGTGTGGAGTGAAAAGCCAAAGATAGAGCCGGCTACAGCTCCATTACAACCCACCACTACCAATTATCAGTAGATTCTACAACGAAATACCTAAGGAAATTCCCCAATCTCGGTTTCTTGTTTTTTTATTATAAATTTTCAAGTTTTGTTTTTGGGTCTTTATTTTCTCAGTCATTCTTGTCTTTAATCGGAAATCTTATCTCAATTCCTAGCTGATCAGTTGGATAAAGTGAATTAATATTGGGTGTTTATTGTATTTAGTGCGCACAAACTAAATCTTTGTGGGCATTTATGGTGGAATTGGGTTGAAAAACATGACAAGTTGATTTTGGAGTGCATCTAGTAATTTTCAAGAAAAGATTTTGTTAAAGATTTGATCTTTGGGGGAGGTATATGGGTTGCTTTCCTTGTTTTGATTCAAAGGAGGAGGAAAAGCTAAATCCCCAAACAGAGAGAGATGATCACAAGGAAGTCCAACCAAACATTTCATCCAACATATCAAGATTGTCATCTGGTTAGTTTCTATTATGCAATTTATGCAGAGGTACACTGGGTTTTTTTGTTTTTGTCTCTGTTTGATCTGATCTGTGATTTTTGTATAAAAGATTAGTTGATTCGATTGAGTTTTATTTGTGACTTTGATTGATTTTGTTTATAAGATTTATTGGACTGCTTCTTGGATTCAACTAGACGTGGACCCTATAATGTTATTATGGATTTGACGAAAGATACTTTATTTCTTCCTATCTATTTAACAGTGAAATGAGATTTCAAGGGGACTATGATGGCTAAATTTGATCTGGTTGTGATATTGGAAGACTAATTATTCGACCTGAAATAATTCATGTTCATATTTGCCTCCACTGAAATAAACAGAAGTTAGTCCTGCTAATTTTGATATCACTTGATTAGACCATGAGTTTAATTATTAAGATGCAGAATATAAATAAGTATAAACTTGGGTCTTGCTTACTGGTTCTGTGAAGCAATAATATCTTCTGCCTCAGTAGTTCACTAATCTGTTAAATTCACTGAATAATGTGTAGAAGTTTATATTTTCATTTTTAATAGTGTTATTTCCTGATGGCACTTTTTAGATGTTTGCGAGTTTTTATGGATTTCTTGTGGTTTTCCATGGTGGAATTTGCAGGTGCAGATAGGGCCAAATTAAGAAGCAATGTTGGGCCAAGGAAAGAACCATCAGGACCAAAAGACGCACCTGTTGCTCAAATTGCTGCACAGACATTTACTTTTCGCGAGCTTGCTTCTGCTACAAATAACTTTAGGCCAGAGTGTTTCTTAGGGGAAGGAGGATTTGGACGTGTCTACAAAGGGCGGCTTCCCAATGGACAGGTAATTTTTCCATTAACTTAACTGAAAATTTGTGTCACGACATGGATGTGAGACATTATGGATGATCTTCGATTAAAACTGGGAAGTTCTCCCACCAAATAAGTTGTTTATTTCTGCAAGGTTTGTGAATAACATTGGCTTTGCTTGCAAGTGGACCACTGGTTGCAAGCACGTGTCTAAGAATATTTACAACCTTAAGTACATAGTTAAAAAATGCTTAGGTTGCCTTTGATAGTTTGGTCCATGGCCCTAGTGTAGCTTCCATTTTCTTTGAAAATTAATAGACTTACACCCTATTTGGTGGTGATTAAAATCAGATTTTTAGTAGATTTTGATAAAAGTTGATGAAATGTATGGTTAAAAAGTTGTGACATCCATTAAAATGTAGTTAAAATTGATTGTTGATTTTGACTTAGATTAAACTTGGATTTAAATCATTACCAAATTGGGGCTTAGTTTGTTGTATCCTGTTGTATAATGTATGAATATTTTATTTAAATGATAGTGTGCATGTGTCATGCGTTTTCTGTAACATAAATTATACCGCAAGTGTACGGTGTCAAGTTTTGTAATATAGTAAGAAAGTTAGGATGTCGAACCCACAGGGATTGTAATTTAATTTCTACCAAGTACTATAATTGTATAACTTCTATTTTATCTAGACAAATGAATGGTTGAATGATTTTTTAAACTAATCAAAGGTAAAATGTTACGACAAAATTAAAGAATATAAATTATCAAAATGAGAAAGCTTATGGAATTATTTCACCAACTTTCAATTATGATTCAATGACATCAAATTATTCCAATTAATTTTCCCATATTTATTGTGCTCGATTCGAAAAAGATGTCACTTCATTGTGAAGGAGATGATAGTTTTGGATCATCTTTCGACTTTGCAAATAGAAGTTGACCAAGCAAATATATAGGAGATTGAAGAATTGTGGTCACTATGTTCAGTTAAGGGAATCGGAAGCTTTCTGGGACATGCAAGCTTTATCAGAAGGTTCATCAAGTATTTTTTTAAATTTACAGAGCCCCTATATAGCTTGTTGGAAGATGATATTCTGTTTCACTTTTCTAATGAGCCTCACCGCTTTTAACACTTTAAAAGAGAAGTTGACAATTGTGTCGCTTATAGCTGTACTGTTGTGAAACAAATCACCGGATTGAGATGTTGAAATTATATGGCACAATAATAAAGTATTTGATCAAGCAAGAGAATAATAAAGATAAGAATACGGCAGAAGAATTAAGAGATTTTATTGACTCAAAAATAATAGAGAAGAGAAAAATTACAATGGATCCTATAATTCTAGTAATCTATTTTCTTACATTTATAAAATTGTAGAGAAGAGCCTAATATTTATAGGAAACATGTAGGGGACGTCCAAACCTCTTAGTAGAGTTGTTGATGAAGTAGGATGCTAAAAAATCGAGTCCAAAATGAAGTAGGAATGAGGCGCCGCCCCAATTTTTTTTTTCTCAAATTGTTTTCTTCATCCCAAACTCTTTTTCAAGTCCAATACCAATTTCTAACTCCCAATAGGCTTCCAAAATGAACTTCAACTTGACATAAGACTCCAATAGCATTCCAAACTTGAATTCTCCTTGACGTGTACTTCAAATAGAATTCTTCAATACTTCAAACACTTCAACAAATGAATTCGGGTCACACCCAATTTCCAACAATCTTCACATTGACACGAATTCGACCAAAGAATAAACTCACTTCTTCAACAATNGGATCTCTTACAATTTAGCAATTTCTCCAACTTTGTCAAATTTTGCTTATTTTCTTCAATCTTACCAACCTAGATCACAATATCAAAACACACATAAAAACACTCTAAAACTTTCTCAAGGGTAACAAAATAATGCATTAAGTGGCTTAAATATCACGAGTGTGGAGCACTCATCAGCACGCTAATACATTTGTATACGTTTATTCGAACAATTTAAAATGAGTTGTTGATGAATTGATTGAAAAAAAAATGTGTTAAAAGATTTGCTATAAAGTGATTTGTTTGATTTAGTCATAGTACTGAGTCAAGTAACTTGAGTACTTCATTCTTATAAGATATGAAAATATAGAAGTTACTTTTGTCTTCATCAATTTACGATTCCAAATTATTATCAAATGCTTCCTTTGAGTTTTCTCGAGTAATAAACATTTTTGCCCGTTTTGGTAGGTTGTTGCTGTTAAGCAGTTAGATAGGAACGGGCTTCAGGGTAATCGAGAATTTTTGGTAGAGGTTCTTATGCTTAGCCTTCTACATCATCCTAACTTGATGAATCTAATTGGTTACTGTGCTGATGGGGATCAGAGGCTTCTTGTCTATGAATTTATGCCCTTGGGATCCTTGGAAGATCACCTTCTTGGTATTTTTTTTTGCTTATTGTCCTATTGTTTGTTCTGTTCAGATTTCTTTTTCATTTTTGTTTTATATATAGTTTGTATCCCTGTATTTGGAAATCCTGCTGGATATATGTGAGATAAGAGTTTTTCGTGTAATTGAAATTATATCTTTTCACTATAAGTCAGAAAGTTTAGAAACAATGAACGCCCTTGTTTCTTAGTTACATTTAGGGAACCTACTCTTCAATAGCATTCATCAAATTAAGCGCAAAATTCCTTGAGTAAAGCAGTTCACCACGATCCAGCGCTTAGAAACATCCAAATTCCCACAAAATTTGTCTTCCTCACTATACCTTCGAAGATTTCATTTGATCTTATTTATTCCAGTTGTCATAGAGTTCTTCCATGAAACACACTACCAGTTGTTTGTAATCTTATTCTGTAACATCAGGTGTCAGCTAATTAATATGTATTGTCAACGAAACATTTAAGCCATAATCCAGGCGAATGACTGGTTGTTAAAATCCTATCTCCAGCTTGTTACTATCTTGGATACTTGTATTCTCCTTGACATGAATTCCCCAATTTTTTTACGAAATTTCTCCCCTCTTTCGACCTTAAAACATTCCAAAAATTTATTCCCAATTGGTGAGACTTGAGAGTATTTTTTCCCTTGCATGTATTGTAAAGAACATGAGCTCTGCGAAGTTTCTTACTGATCCTTAAAGTTATTCACCTTAGTCGCAGTACAGTAAAATCAAAAAATCTATCAATGACCTTTGGCTGTTGTGATCCCATTCTCACCCTTTTTCAACTTGAAATTACAATCGACCTATTGACTTGCCAGTAATCTGTGTTTGACTCCTCGAAATTAGACACTACTCTATGCATGTCTCAAGCACTAAGCCTCAAACTACAATTTACTAAGAAGTAATGAGATTTACCAGTTTTCATTACAATGTAAACAGTCCTGAAAAGTCACTGCTGTAGTGTCTTTAACTTTCTTTGAATACATGTAGAACATCTTCGAAGCATCTCAATACTTTACTAACTTTATGATTAATAGGTCCAGTTAATGAATTCTAAGACCCTTTTGCAACCTAATTATGTGGGTTATAAAGAAGTAATGAAAACTTTTCTTACCTCTCTCTCTTTATCATATGCTCGAGATTTGCTTGCGATCTCATTATGACCACGAAATGGGATTAAATAGTTGAAAGCTATGAGCTATTATGTCTGCAGCCATTTTATCATGTGTTCACAATCTTTACATTGTATATTTTTTTTGTTTTACAGATCTTCCACTTGATAAAGAACCATTAGATTGGAACACGAGAATGAAGATAGCAGCTGGTGCAGCTAAAGGTTTGGAGTATCTCCATGACAAGGCAAATCCTCCAGTTATTTATCGGGATTTTAAGTCGTCAAACATATTGCTAGGTGAAAGATATTCCCCAAAGCTCTCCGACTTTGGACTTGCAAAACTTGGTCCTACAGGAGACAAGTCGCACGTGTCCACCAGGGTCATGGGAACGTATGGTTATTGTGCTCCCGAGTATGCCATGACTGGGCAACTGACAGTTAAATCTGATGTCTACAGTTTTGGGGTTGTCTTCTTAGAGCTCATCACTGGACGTAAAGCCATTGACGGCACCCGGCCACATGGAGAACAGAACCTTGTTGCGTGGGCAAGTCGCTCAATATTTTGCACGTCTTTTTTTTTTTTTTTAGCAATAGTGCATTCCCATCAGTATTTATTTAGTTACCATGAGGATTGTCCATGTAATGCAGGCACAGCCATTGTTCAATGACCGGAGGAAATTTGCTAAATTGGCAGATCCACGGCTGCACGGCAAGTATCCTATGCGGGGTCTTTATCAGGCTCTGGCTGTGGCATCCATGTGTATCCAAGAACAGGCTGCTGGTCGCCCTCTGATTGGAGATGTCGTCACTGCACTTTCTTATTTGGCAAATCAGGCGTATGATACTAGTATAGCTCCTGGGCATAGCTACAGGATTTCAGTGGACAAGGACGATAACAGAAACAAAGATGAGCGAGGTAGAAAAATATTGAGGAATGAAGAGGGGGGAGGATCTGGACGCAAGTGGGACTTGGAAGGATCTGAGAAGGACGATTCTCCAAGAGAAACTACGAAAATGTTGAACAGGGACTTGGACAGGGTACGCGCAGTTGCGGAAGCTAAGATGTGGGGTGAGAATTGGCGGGAAAAAAGACGACAATGTGCTCAAGGAAGTTTCGACGGCAGGAATGGGTAGTACTTAATAGATGTTATACAGTATAAGGCTCCCTTTTACCCCTGCATATTTCATTGGCGATTGAAACAACCCAAGAACTGTGCTTCAACCAAGCACTAGAAGTTCAATCTTGTTGTGAAGAGTGTCAAAACTCATAAATAGACACAATATGGGGCCTTATTTTATTTTATATTTTTTGAAAAAAAATTTCTTTTCTTTTCATTTCTAGATGAAGAAGAGAGCATTAAGAGTGTGTATATTTACAGATGGAACAATGAGTGCAAGTATTTCTGAAGGGATGCTTGATTTTTCTTCTGCCAGTTCTTCTTCTATGAAAAACATAATCTGCTGTTTGTAATCTTATTCTGGAACATCAGGCATCAGCTAAAGCATATGTTTCTTCATGGAACATTTTACATAATCTACAATCCAGGTTTACGACTCCTTGTTAAGATCCTATCTCCAGCTTGTTACTTGCACGATGTCAAATTACTTTATCTAAAAGTTAAAATACATTCAAATTTAGTCTCACCTCGTACATGTAGGATTCATTAATGAATTTTTGATAAACGTCCAAGCTGAGACGAGCTTTACAATCAATTGATTGAGAGTGGATAGTTCGTGCAAATTCATCAATAGTTTGAGAAGATATTTTCTTGAAAATGGAGTTTAATTTATCTATGATACTGCAGTTTTGAATTGCATGTGAAGAATTTATTGATATATGGTACCGGAAAATGAATAAATTTGATGAAATTAATGTGAAAGAGACGTGTTCTTGTGTAAATATCAATCTAGGTATGGTACTATGTTAAAGTAAGTCAATTAGCAATAACTAGAAATGTT